CTGGGCACTGCTGCCTCGGTGCTGGCCCCGCTGTGGGTGGACACAGCCCCTTGGCCAAGCCAGAGGCTTTCTGATTGGTTCCAGAGAAAGTCCCAGAGTTGACGCCCACTGAGCTCATTGGGTCAGTGACTTCATCTGGAGTCATTGGCTCAGGCCCGCCAGGCTTGGATCCTATGCTGTCTCTTTTGTCAGTCATGGAGCTTGAACTCTGGGCCTGGGCACTGTCCCTCAGCTCTTCAGCTCAAGGCCAGCGCTCTACCACTTGAGCCATAGCGCCACTTCCAGCTTTTTCTGACATTTTTTGGCAATCAGAGTCTTACAGACTTTCCTGTTCTAGCTGGCTTTGAACTGCCATCCTCAGATCTCAGTCTCCCAAGTAGCTAGGATGACAGGTGTGAGCCACCAGCACCCAGCTCAATTAACCCTTTTCCGAACCTCAGTTTCCCCATCTATAATAAGATAACAGGAGCTAAGACATCCAAAGTATATACTATCTACTGGTATTGCTTTAAGTACTTTCTAGATACTCTGTGTGTGTGTGTGTGTGTGTGTGTGTGTGTGTGTGTGTGTGTGTGTGTGTGTGAAAAATGTCAGTTTGGGGATTTGAACTCAGGGCCTGGGTGCTGTCCCTTAGCTTTTCCACTCAAGGCTTGGCACTCTACCACTTGAGCCACAGTTCCACCTCCAACCTTTAAGTAATTCCTTGGAGATACGGTGTCAGAAACTTCCTGGCACGGGCTGGCTTGGAACCACAATCTACAGATCTGAGTATTTTAGGATGACAGACATGGGCCACTATGCCCAGCTTTAGATACTCTCTCTCGCTTTCTTTCTCTCTTTGCTGGTCATGGGGCTTGAACTCTGGGCCTGGACGCCATCCCTCAGCTCTTCAGCTCAAGTCCAACGCCCTACCGCTTGAACCACAGCGCCACTTCTGGCTTTTTGTTTATGTGGTGCTGAGGAATCGAACCCAGGGCCTCATGCATGCAAGGCAAGCACTGTACCACTGAGCTGCCTTCACAGCCCTTAGTCTCTTTAAGTCATCAAGCTTGTCTAAGGTCAAAATGTTGGTGGGGGGGGGGGGGGGCCTGCAGGAATCTGGGCTTGCCGGAAGCGGAGCTCACATGAAGGGAAGTGGTTGGCACCAAGCCACAGGCAGATGCCCAGAAGTGCAGCGAGCTTTGTAATGCTGAGGACACATGTTTGAAGGTGTGCTTTGTAGAATCTTGCAGAGAGACAGGATGAGGCCAGGGGGAGGCTCTGCTGGCAGAAGCTGAAAAGCCCCGTGGCCCAACTGCTCCCTTCCCTCAAGCTAGAAGAGTGTGTGTGTGGGGGGGGGGGGGGATCCACAAAACAGGAAGTGGGAGTGGGTAGAGGCAAGGCTGCCAGGAGGAAAGGAGAGGGTCCCCCTCTTCTTAGTCTCCATCCAGTTCCATTTTTGTCCTCACAACCAGTTCTCAGAAGGAAACTCAGAAGCCAGGCACCGGTGGCTCATCCCTGTCATCCCAGCTGTTCAGGAGGCTGAGATCTGAGGATCGAGGTTTGAAGCCAGGCCAGGCTGATAAATCCCTGTGACAGTCTGATCTCCAACGAACCATCCCAAAACCGGAACTGAGCCTGTGGCTCAAATGGTAGAGCGCTAGCCTTGAGCAATAGAGCTCAGGGACAGCACCCAGGCCCTGAGTTCAAGCCCTGTGACCAGCAAAAAGAAAAGAAAAAGCTGGGCCCCGGAAGCTCATGCCTGTCATCCTAGCTACTCAGGAGGCTGAGATCTGAGGATCACGGTTCAAAGCCAGCCTGGGCAGGAAAGTCCATGAGACTCTGATCTCCACCAGAAAACCAGAAGTGGCGCTGTGGCTCAAGAGGTAGAGTGCTGGCTGTGAACTGAAGAGCTCAGGGACGGTGCCCAAGCCCAGAGTTCAAGCCCCACGACCAACAAATAAAGAAAGTTGGAGATGAGAAATGTTTTATCCTAAGTCACATAGCAATAAAACCAGGTTCTGGATGCGAATTTTTCCCACTTGTTCTCCTTTTTGTCACTCCAGAGACCCAGAGGTTATCGTCCCAGACTCCCTGTGTGTGTGTGTGTGTGTGTGTGTGTGTGTGTGCGTGCGCGCACGCACATGCATGCGCCCACGCACATGCATGCGCCCACGCACATGCATGCGCCCATGCCAGTGCTAGGATTTGAACTCAGGGCCTAGCTTTCTGCTCATGAATGGTGCTCTACCACTTGAGCTACAGCTCCATTTCCTGTTGTCTGGCAGTTAATTGGAGGTAAGAATCTCAAGCACTTTCCTGTCTGGGCTAGCTTTGAACCGTGATCCTCACTCAGATCTCAGAGAGGATGACAGGCTTGAGCCACCAGTGCCCAACCCCCAAATTGTTCTTATATAGAAAACTTATTAAGAACTATAGTTGGTAACCAGGCACCGGTGGCTCACGCCTGTCATCCTGGCTACTCAGGAGGCTGAGAGCTGAGGATCATGCTTCAAAGCCAGCCCGGGGAAGGAACGTCCATGAGACTCTGATCTTCAGTGAACCACCAAAAAGCTGGGCGTGGAACTGTAGCTCAAGTGGTAAAGCAAGCGCTTGCCTTGAGCAGGAGGCTGGGCAGGGATGGGAGGAGCTGTGAACTAGCAAGGGCGGAGGCCAGAGATACAGATGGCTTAGCATCTGCCTCCCTAGGGCTCCCATCAGCCCTTGCTACAAAGCTTCCCCCTCCCCTGAACTAGGTGTGGGGAGAAGGCCAAAGCCCTGCCTGGCGCTCCCCGTGGCTGGGCTGGATCCTCACTATGTTTTCATCCCATCCATCCAACTTCACTATTTGCCATCTTCATTGTATTTCAACACACCTACCAACCAGTGGGGCAAAGGTCTTGCCTTGACCCCATCAGGGCCTGAGGCTGAGCGGGAGGAGGGGTGGAGAGACTGCCAGGGTTAGAGAATTTGTGACAAAGGTGGGTACCAGGCTGGGCACTGGTACCCTGTCACCCTAGCTACTCAGGAGGCTAAGATATGAGGATTGCGGTTCAAAGCCAGCCCAGGTAGGAAAGACCAGGAAACACTTATGTCCAATGAACCACCAGGAAACTGGAAGTGGCGCTGTGGCTCAAGTGGTAGAGCTCTTGCCTTGAGCTGAAGAGCTGAGGGACAGCGCCCAGGCCCAGAGTTCAAGCCCCACAACCAACAAAGGCTAAGGCAGGGGCTGGTAAAAGTGCTTTGAGGTGTGTGTGTGTGTGTGTGTGTGTGTGTACACTGGTATTGGAATTTGAACTCAGGGCCTTGTATTATTCTTTCTTCTCTTTTGTCGGTGATGAGGCTTGAACTCTGGGACTGGGCACTGTCCCTCAGCTCTTCAGCTTAAGGCTAGAGCTCTACCACTTGAGCCACAGCGCCACTTCTGGTTTCCTGGTGCTTCATTGGAGATAAAGGTCTCAGGGACTTTCCTGCTGGGGCTGGCTTTGAATCCTCATCCTTCAGATATCAGCCTCCTGAATAGCTAGGGTGACAGGCATGAGCCACAGACACCCAGGTAAGGGTCTTTGTATTCTTGCTTAGCTTTTTCAACTCAAGGCTGGCACTCTACCACTTGAGATACACCACCACTTCTGGCTTTGGGGTGGTTAGTTGGAGATAAAGAGCCTCACAGACTTTCCTGCCTGGGGTTGGCTTCAAACCTCGATCCTTGATCTCAGCCTCCTGAATAGCTAGGATGGCAGGCATGAGCCACCAGGCCTGGCTGTGCTTGGAGTTCTAAAGATATTCTTCTTGTTGCAAAGTGCTGGAGGAAGTCCAAAGTGCTTCCTACTCACTGAACTCAGTGCTGGGCTGGAGCTCAGGTTGGCCTAGGTGCTGGGGTTCACCTCCCTGGAAAGCAGGGTGACACCAGGGGTTTCAGGTCCTCTAGGTGATGGTGCACGGACCTTTGGGAAGTTTAGGTGACAGGAAGCTGGCCCCAGTGCCTTGGGAGGAGCTGTTGCCCTGGGGATGCATTTAGGGTCCCGTTGGGAGGGGAGAGGCTTGGGTCAGAGAAGGTGGAGAATTTCCTTGCCAGGCCCTGGGGACTCACTCCCGCCTGCCTGCCAATCCTAGCTACCACAGGAGGCTGAGATCCGGAGGAGTGAGGATGGAGGCTGGTTCGAAGCCAGCCTGGGCAGGAAAGTCTGCAGAGACTCTTCTCTGCAGCAAACGACCCAGAAAGAGCCGGAAGTGGTGCTGTGGCTCAAGTGGTAGAGCGCTGGCCTTGTGCACAGAGAGGCTGGGGGGGGGGGGGGGCAGTGCCTGGGACCTGAGTTCAAGCCCCAGGACTGGGGTGTGTATGTGTGTGTGGGGAATTTCCAGGCTGTATGGAGGGAAAAGGGTTGGGGGGGGACATAGAAAGGGGGAAAATAAAGCAAATAGTAGGGTGCAGACGGGATGGGGGACCAGGGGCCAGGGGCGCAGGGAGGGAGGTAGGGGGCAGCTGGGGGGGGGAGATGCTGTGTGCAGGAGCTGTGTTTCCCAACGTGGGGGGGGAGTGGGCTGGTGGGGGGGTTGAGGGGGGGATGAGGGGGGTCAGAGGGCAGGGGTGCAGGGGTGGGGAGGGAGCAGCTGGGGGGGGAGATGCTGTGTGCAGGAGCTGTGTTTCCCAACGTGGGGGGGAGTGGGCTGGGAGGGGGTTCTGGGGGAAGGGATGGGGGGACAGGGCAGGGGTGAGGGGGGGTGCGTGGGGCCGCCCCGGAGCAGGCTGGGAAGTGGGGGGGGCGGACCCCCTCGTTCTCCCTCCTCCCCCCACCCCTCCCCCGGGGGGGGCGGCGCTAGGACCGAGCGGGCGGGAGCGGGCGGGAGGGCGCGGGGCGGAGCCTGCGCCCCCCGCCCCCCGCGGCCCGCCCTCCGCGCGCCCCTCCCCCGGCCGCGGCGCGGCTCGCGGCGCTGCAGAGGCTCCGAGGCGGCGGCGAAGGCGCAGGCGGCGGCTCCGCGCTCCCTCCCCGCCCGCCCGCCCGCCCGTCCGCCCGTCCGCCCGTCCGTCCGTGCGTCCTCGCGCGCGCGCGCGTGCGGCCCCCGTCCGGCCCGAGCATGGCCGGCGTCAGCTTCAGCGGCCACCGCCTGGAGCTGCTGGCGGCGTACGAGGAGGTGATCCGGGAGGAGAGCGCGGCCGACTGGTGAGCCGCGGGCCCCGCCCGCCGCCCGCCGCCCTTTGTCCCCGCGCCGCCGCCGCCGCCGCCGCCGCCTTTGTCTCCATCCGGCCCCGCAGCGGGGGGGGGGGGGGGACCCCGCGGCCGGGAGGGCCGCGCCGCCTTTGTGCGCGCCGGGGAGGGGCCGGGCGCGGGTCCGACCCCAGCCCCCCCCGCGCCCGCCCCGGGGCGCACCGGCCGGCCAAGGGCACCTTCGCCACCCCGGGGCGGGGCCGCGCGGGGGTCACCGCGCGGGGAGGGGGGCCCGGCCAGGCCCCGGACGCAGCACAAAGGGAAGCCGGGGCGCGGCGGGGGGGGCGGGCCCCGCCCACCGGGGGCTCCGCCGGGCGCCCCCCCCCCCCACACCCCGATCGGGGGTTCGAGGCCACCTGGCGACCGCGAGAGGAGCGGGGCGGGGTGGGGGGGACCGGGCCCCGGCGATCCATGGATGGGACCCCGCTGCCTGTGGAGGGGACACCCCCGGGGGGGGAGCCCCGGGTGGATGCACAGACCCCCCCCTCCTGCGCCCCCCCACCCCAGCCACCAGGAACACTGGGCCCAGCCGAGGGAGCGGCCGCCTCTCCCCCCCCCCCCAGCTGTTGCCTCCCCCCCCCCCCCCCGCCTGGGGGGAGAGGGGGAGGGGATGGACCACCTGCTCTGGGCAGAGAACCCAAGGGGTTCCACCCGGCTCCCCCACTCCTCATTCCTCCAGTATCCTTCCCAGGGGCAGGGGCCCATTCCGTGCCCAGGCCCCCTGCCCGCCCTTCCTGGCCGTCAGGAGATAGGATCTTCTTCCCCCGGGAAACTGAGGCAGAGTGGGCACCGGTCTGAGGGACCCCACTGGGGCTGGGCTCGCCCTCACCCCAGGAAGGGACACTGAGCAGGGGGGACCTGGGGCAGGGGGGGGGACCCTGGGACAAGATAGCCAGGCGTCCCTGCCCTGGTACTGCAGTACTGGACAGCAGCCAGGCCCGGAGGGACGCACTCGAGGCCGGCTCTGGTGCACGGTCAGTGGCTGGAGAGGCCAGAGCTAAGCCCCAGTTAGCTGAGCCGGCAGTCAGCCCACCATTGTCCCAGCCCTGCCCCTGGGGGTGGGGTGGGGTGGAGGCTTGGGCCCCGCCTGAGAGGCACGGCCCACCCCTGAGCAAACCCCCTTGCCCTCCAGCCTGGGGGACACTCTGACTGCACCCCTCCTTACCCTGTCCAGGCCCCAGAGTCACCGCTGTCCCACATTCTGCCGGGGTCCCACCACCCGGGAGCGGCCACGTGGCCAAAGGCAGTTATTCATCCCTGCCGTGCGTCAGCCCCCATCTGGGTGGTGGTGTGTGGGACCCACGCAGATGCATGCACGCGTGCGTGCCTCGCGGAGGCACACATTTGCTCGCTCCCCAGGGCCCAAGATCGCCGTGGGTTAGCAAGGTGTGAGAGTCGTGTCCTGCCAAAGAGTGTCCCCAGTGGGTCAGCCCGGCGTGGGGTGAGACCGCAAGCCCGGCAGCTCACGCCTGGCATCCTAGCTACTCGGGAGGCGGAGAGCTGAGGGTTATGTAGTTCAAAGCCAGCCAGGGCTGCAAGGTCTGTGAGACTCTTAAAAGCTCTAATGAACCAGCAAAAAAGCTGGAAATGGAGCGGTGGCTCAAGTGATAGAGAACCAGCCTTAAAGGCCTTGAGGTCAAGCCCTAGTATGAACACACACACACACACACACACACACACACACACACACACACACACACACACTCAGGCCAGGGTATCCTGGGTAAGATCGCTGGGTGGGGGTGGGGGTATACTCCTCTCTGGTGCTCTTGAGGAAAGACTGGGCCTTTCTGACTTTGGCATCCTGAGACTGGACCTCTGAGCCTAGAACTCCCAGTCTCCCCCTCCCCTTCCCCCACCCCGCCTGGCCTTGGTCCAGTTCCTGTGGTCTGGACGGTTTCCAAGAGTGGGTCACCGGGCACTGTAGGTTGAGAGCTAACAATCGCGGTTCGAAGCCAACCCAGGCTGGCAAATCCATGAGACTCTTAGCTGCAGCCAAAAGCAGGAAGTGGAACTGTGGCTCAAGTAGTAGAGTGCCAGCCTTGAGTGAAAAAGGAACAGTACCAGGGCCCTGAGTTTGAGCCTCAGTTCCCTCCCCGCCCCCTCCACAGAGTTGGGGGTAACATCCATGCTCTGGGCTGGATCCAGAATCTGGCCTCTGCCTTTACAGAGACTTACAGCCTTGGGTTGCGATCTTGTGCCAGGCTTGGAGCTGGGGAGATGTGTAGATTCCAGGTCCCCCTGTTCATTTCTCCAGCTCCCAACCAACCTAAGCCAGGGGTGCCTCTGGTGTTCACCATCCCTGGTCCATGGGTGCCGGGAGCCAGATGCCTCTTCCGGCCCGGCTTCGGGGAGGGACGTTTTCAGGACCCTGGGTTGGAGGAGCCATCCAGTGTGGCCCCGTTGGATGGTCTGAGCACCAGCAGGTCAGCATCGCCATGCTGGGCTGGGCGGAGCTGATGGATGAAGGCTCGCTGAGAGGAAGTCTTTGGACCCTGTCAAGTGGGAAGTAGGGGTGTAGGCTGGGAATGTGGGGTGAGCCACGGTGTGTCCAGCAGCATCTGGGAGCTCCTGGCCTCCGGTTCTCCTCTGTGAACTGATGGGAAGTAAGGATCCACCCTTCTTTGGTCTCTTTGTTCCTGGGCCGTAGGTTGGGGGGGGCAGCCGGACAGCTGGCCAGGCAGCTGTGCTGGCAAAGCAGCTGCTAGGGCAGTGGCTGGGGCAACAGTTGGACCAGGACCCCTCCCTGCCACCCCCCTCCCCGGCCCACCTGTACCCCCCCCCCTTTTTTTGGAGCTAGGGGCTAGGAGCCATTTGGCCCTGGCTACAACTTCCGCCAACGGCTTGGGGCTGGGGCTCGGAAGACTCCCCCCGCCCCCTTTCCTTCCCAGCTCTTCTCCCTTTTCTTCTCGCCTTTCTTCTTTTCCTTCCTCTCCCTCCTTCTCATCCCTCATCTGTCCTCTGTCTCCCAGCGTCTCCCCCTCTCTTTCCTTCCTCCATGGCCTCCTCCTCCTCCTCTCCTCGCCACCACCCCCAACCCCACCCCCAGCCTCCTGCCTCGGCCGTGGAGGAGAATGGGAGTCTGAGCTCTCGTGAACCTCTGCGAGATGGGAGGCCTCCTTTCTAGCATTTCCTTCCGTGAAAATGGATGCTGTGTGGCCTAAGGGAGAAAGGGGGGGGGGAGGGTGGAAAGGCTGCTGGGTGTGTGTGTGTGGTGGGGGGCGGAGAGGAAGAGGACCCAGGAAGGCTGCAGGGTCAGCTTTCTGGCCGGCTTGAAAGGCCAACAAGTCCCAGGAGGCCTCAGCTAGGGCAGTGGCCGCCCAAGGGCTGAAAGGCTAGGAGAGCAAAGCCATCTGGGGGCTCCCCCCCACCCCCGCCCCGCCTGGAATCTGGGATGTGGAGGGGGGGGGCGTGACTGGAGATTGAGTCTGAGGGCGGGTCTCGGGGGTCTTTGTGTTCCTGGAGACTGCAGCTCTGGTGGGCCGGTGCCTGTGCCAATTGCTGGGTTGCCATGGTTACCCGGGGATGCCCAGCACTGAGCATCAGCTTCTCCTCCTCCCTCCCTGCCTCCCTCCCTTCCTCCCCACAGGGGGAGGGGCAGCGGGTACCAAGGCACGCGCCAGGTAGATTCCTGGCGCTGGCCAATGAGGGCTGAGAATCGCCGTCGCCAGGAAACGGTAACCAAGGAACGGTTGCCTTGGGAATCTCCATCGCACACCCGCTTGGCTGGGTTGTGGGCTGCCAGGGAGGGCCAGGGCCGGCCATGCCACCCGAGCCCGAGCCAGCCCAGCTGAGCCCTTTCCCCCTTTCCCTGCCCACCCCTTGGCCCTGGCCCGCCAGGCTTGTAGGATGCCCCCTGCTGGGCTGCAGCTGGAAAGAATGCCAGGCTCCCTCCCCCTTTCCAACCCCCACCCCCATCTCCCCCCATCCCCCTGTGGGATTCCTCTCCCCACCCAAAATTGGCTGCCTGGGGCCCTGACTGCTGAGCTCCCCACCCCTCCCTCTCCCCAGGGCTCTGTACACTTACGAAGATGGCTCCGATGACCTCAAGCTTGCAGCCTCCGGAGGTAAGAATTCCAGCCATTCCTTCCCTTTTCGCCCCGCCCTCCCCTCCCCCCCCCACTTTGTGGTTTCCTTCCCCACCCCACTGGCTGCCAGCCATCCTCCAGCCTCCCGTACACTTGCCTGGCCCCTGTCCTTCTCTCTTGTCATCTTCCTTTTTCTTTTTTTGGTCAGTCGTGGGGCTTGAACTCTGGGCCTGAGCGCTGACCCTGAGCTCTTCAGCTCAAGGCAATCGCTCTACCACTTGAGCCACAGCGCCCCTTCTGGTTTTCTAGTGGTTCGTTGGAGATCAGAGTCTCACGGACTTTCCTGCCTGGGCTGGCTTTGAACTGTGATCCTCAGATCTCAGCCTCCTGAGTAGCTGGGATGACAGGCGTGAGCCACCACTGGCTCCTGGCGGGTCCTTCTTGTTTGATGGCTGAGAAGGCTCAGAACGGGACATAAGATAAACAGCCATTAGAGCAGGGGCCTTCGCTGGGTGACCGAGATTGGCACCCTTTTCTCCAGTGCCGGAAGACTTCATTAAGGTGCTGAGCACCTGGTAGAATGTGCAGATAGAGATGAGGAGGTGTGAAAAGCAACACCTGCTCAGTCCTTTCCCACATCAGGCCCTGGAGGAGAGAGAGGCAGAGCGAGGTCTCATCTGGCCCTGGCCCCAATCGCATACAACTTGGGGGGGGCCTCCAGATCTCATGGGTGAAGATCTCTGGGGGTTCTGGGTCCTCTGTGGGATGTGGATTGAGACCCGGAATCCTGACGTCCTCCTGATCTCCCCAGAAGGGGGCTTGCAAGAACTTTCCGGCCACTTCGAGAACCAGAAGGTGATGTACGGTTTCTGCAGCGTCAAGGACTCTAAAGCTGCCCTGCCAAAATATGTGCTCATCAACTGGGTACGTGCCTGTGCCGTGCTGGGGGACTTTCCAGCCCCCCCCCCAAATTCCCATCCCTCTTGGGTCGGTCGTGGGGCTTGAGCTCTGGGCCTGGGCGCTGTCCCTCAGCTCTTCAGCTCAAGGTGAGCACTCAACCACTTGAGCCACAGCACCATCTCCAGCTTTTTCTGGTTCTGTGGTACTGAGGAATCGAACCCAGGGCTTTTATGCATGCTAGGCAAGCACTCTACTACTAAGCCACCTTCCCGGCCCCTCTCGGGCTTTTCTGATCTCCTCTTTACTGGGTACTTTGCAGGTGGGTGAAGACGTGCCTGATGCCCGGAAATGTGCTTGTGCCAGCCACGTGGCTAAGGTGGCTGAGTTCTTTCAGGTGTGTTGCGGGGGTGGGGGTGGGGGGGTGCCCAGGCTCCCCTGTGTTCTAGGGGAGGGGTGGTGATAACAAGAGGCAGTATCGATGCCACCTGAACCCCGCTTTCTGTTGTTTTTTGCCGGTCCTGGGGCTTGAACTCAGGGCCTGGGCGCTGTCCCTGAGCTGCTTTGGCTCAAGGCGAGCGCTCTACCACCTGAGCCACAGCGCCACTTCTGGCTTTTTCTGTGTCTGTGGTGCTGAGGGATCGAACCCAGGGCTTCGTGCATGCTAGGCGAGCGCTCTACCACTGAGCCCAGCCCCTGAACCCTGCTTTCTTGTGGAAGGGCGTGGACGTCATCGTTAATGCCAGCAGCGTGGAAGACATCGATGCAGGCACCATCGGACAGCGGCTCTCCAACGGGCTGGCCCGGCTCTCCAGCCCGGTGCTACACCGACTGCGGCTTCGGGAGGATGAGAATGCTGAGCCGGTGGTCAGTGTGGGCCTGGGGCGGGCAGGCCCCTGAGACGGGGGAAGGGGGCGTCTCTACTCCCCGGTCTGTCTGTGCATGCGAGTTCAGTCGTCATTGCCAGGCTGCTTCCTTCCGCAGGGCACCACCTATCAGAAGACTGATGCCGCCGTGGAAATGAAGCGGATTAACCGGGAGCAGTTCTGGGAGCAAGCCAAGGTGCAGGACCCCCACCCTAGTGTCTAGTTCCCGTTGGGTGTAATTCTAAATCCCCAATGGTGTGTCCCAACCCCATGTTCCCACAGCCCAAGGAGGGAGTCCTTTAGGCCTCCTGTGCTTTCCTCCTGGTGGGTCACGCCTGTCATCCTAACTACTCAGGAGGCTGAGATCTGAGGATCACAGTTCAAAGCCAGCCCGGGCAGGAAAGTCCGCGAGACTCCTATCTCCAATAAACCACTAGAAAACCGCAAGGGGCACTGTGGCTCAAGAGGTAGAGCGCTGGCCTTGAGCTGAAGAGCGCAGGGACAGCGCCCAGGCCCAGAGTTCAAGCCCCATGACTGACAAAAAGATTCCTCCCTCCTCCCCCCACCCCAAATTTCCAAAATAGTCCCCCTTCTCAAGCCCGATCTAGGGATAGGCTGGAAGGGCAGGTCCTCCCTGATGCTCAGGGCCTGCCCTTCTCTGGCGAGGGGCTTGCAGAAAGAGGAGGAGCTGAGGAAGGAGGAGGAGCGGAAGAAGGCCCTGGACGCCAGGCTGAGGTTCGAGCAGGAGCGGATGGAGCAGGAGCGGCAGGAGCAGGAAGAGCGGGAGCGGCGCTATCGTGAGAGAGAGCAGCAGATTGAGGAGCACAGGTGAGCCCCAGCCCGCAGGCCCAGGCAGATGCGCCCCCCCCCCACACCGCTCCCCCCCAGGCCACCACCCACCCTGATGGGGTGCCTGCCGCTTGTCCCTCCAGGAGGAAGCAGCAGACTCTAGAAGCTGAAGAGGCCAAGAGGCGGTTGAAGGAGCAGTCGATCTTTGTAAGTTCTTCCCCAGGGCTTCCAGACTCTGGTCAGGGACACCAAGATGGGGGGGGGGGTGTCCATGTTTTTGAGGCTGTTTCAGTGGAAAAAGCTGGAAGTGGCGCTGTGGCTCAAGTGGTAGAGCGCTCGCCTTGAGCTGAAGAGCTGAGGGACAGCGCCCAGGCCCAGAGTTCAGGCCCCACGACCGACAAAAAAAGAAAGAAAAGCTTGTTCTCATTAGAAGCCAGTGGCTCACGCCTGTCATCCTAGCTACTCAGGCGGCTGAGATCTGAGGATCCCGGTTCAAAGCCAGCCCGGGCAGGAAAGTCTGTGAGACTCAACATCAATTAAGCATCAAAAACATCGTGGAAGTGGAGCTTTGGCTCAAGTGGTAAAGTGCCAAAAATAAATAAATAAAATCTAAGGGACAGCATCCAGGCCCTGAGTTCAAATCCTAATACTCCCCAAAAGTTTGCAGAGCCACATGAATGAATACGGGCCGGTGCTTGAGTCTGCTTGTCCCCACATCTGTGGACATTGGGAATGAACCCCTCATCTGTGGATGGCACCGTGACAATCACAGCCAACTCAGGCTGTGAAGTAGTGGGGTTTGAACTCAAGGCCTCCCACACTGTAGGCCTGGATTTACTGTTTGCTATTTCAGAGATTCCTCAAGGATCAGATTGGAGTGGGGTGTGCAGTTCAATAAGGGGGAGACTCCTGGCAGATTTGGGCCAGTGTGGCTGAGGAGCCCCTGGTCCACATGAGGCTAGGAGGGAGGGGTCAACCTGTTTTTATCGGGACTGGCACCAAATGGCTGCCGAAGGCACTAATCACATCTGTCTCTGGAGATGCTGTGTGGTTGGTAAACCAGCCTGTAGTGCTTATCCAGGTACCAAGTACCAAGTGTCTTCTTGAAAATTAACTGATGCATGTGTGTGTGTGTGTGTGTGTGTGTGTGTGTGTGTGTGTGTGTGTGTGTGTGTGTGTGCGTGTGTGTGTGCGCGCACCACAACTCCCCTTCTGGTTTTTTGCTGGTTTATTGGAAGTAAGAGCCTCATGGACTTTCCTTCTCAAGCTGGCTTTGAACTGCCATCCTCAGATCTCAGTCCCCTGTGTCACTGGGATGACAGGTGTGAGCCATCTCTGCTCAGCCAGACATCCTGTTTCTTTTCCACTTGATCTTCCACCCCCTCCGTTTTCCCTGTGAGCGGCAGGGGACTGAACGAGAGGCTTTTTGGTCTAGTTAGATCACAGCTTGTGCTGCTGGCACGTGTGGACCTCAGTCTTCATCCTGTTCTGCTTGCGGGGCGGGGGAGGGTGACCCCAGGAACAGGAAATGATGGCCCAGTGTCATCTGTGCTAAATGCTAGGAACTCCGTGTAGGAAGCAGGGAAGGAAATGATCCCCATGGACTGAGGATTGTGTGTGTGTGTGTGTGTCCTGAGGATTGAACTCAGGGCCTGCGCACTGTCCCTGAACTTTTGTGCTCAAAGCTACTAGTGTCCTATGACTTTGAGCCACAGCAACCATTTCCAGCTTTTTGATGGTTCACTGGAGATAAGAGTCCCATAGACTTTCCTGCTGGGGCTGGCTTTGAACCACCAGACCTCAGCCTCTGGAGCAGCTGGGATGACAGGCGTGAGCCACCGGCACCTGGCTCTTTTCCCTGGAGGCAGTACTCAAAGGGGCTGGACTTGGTGGGGATCAGGCATAGCCAGGGCGGGGCTCTTCTCCTATGCCACGTTGCAGTGGTGGGAAATGATGCTGTGGTTTGGGTTGAGGAGTTTATGTCAGTATCTCAGACTATGCCTGGCATAGGTGGCTCATGCCTGTAATCCTTAGCTTACTCAGGAGGCTGAGATCTGAGAAGTGGAGCTGTATGTAGCTCCAAATGGTAGAGCCCTATTATTGAGCACAAAGTCTTAGGATTGGGGATCAGGCCCTGAGTTCAAGTCTTGACAATCACCACCAACCCCCCTCCCCCCCCCCCCCCAAAAAAAAAGCTAGAAGTCATGCTCAAGGGCTAGCTGTAAGCAAAAAAGCTCAGGGACAGCACCCAGCTCCTGAGTTCAAGCCCCAGGACCAGCACTAAAATAAACACATTTGAATAAGATGAAATCTCAGCCTTGGTGGGCAAGTTGGGGCGAGGTAAGGCAGTGATATAGGAGCCACTGCAGCTGTTGTAAGAGGAGGAGGGGGTCAAGCAGGAGCTTGCCCAGCTGCCATCTTAAAACCTAACAAGGCCAGATACAGTGATTCAAGCCTGTAATCTTACCTGCCTGGCAGTTAGAGATCAGGGCAATCCTGGTTCCAGCCCAGCTCAGGCATAGAAGTTTGTGATACTCCATCTCAACCAATGGCTGGGGGCGGGGATACACACTGCCAGGGAACCTGGCAAGATGCATAGACCTTAGCTTGAAAGTAACCAATGCACTGGGCGCCGGTGGCTCACGCCTGTCATCCTAGCTACTCGGGAGGCTGAGACCTGAGGATTGTGGTTCAAAGCCATCCCGGGCAGGAAAGTCCATGAAATTCTTATCTCCAGTAAAAAACAAAACAAACAAACAAAAAACTGGAAGTGGCGCTGTGGCTCAAGTGGTAGAGCGCTCGCCCTGAGCTGAAGAGCTGAGGGACAGCGCCCAGGCCCAGCGTTCAGGCCCCACAACCGACCAAAAAAAAAAAAGTAGCCAATGCAAAAAGGAGCTCAGGCATGGCTCAGATGGTAGAGCACCCGCCTAGCAAAGTCCCCAGGTCTTGAGTTCAAGTCCCAAGACTGGCACTAAAAAGAAACCCAACGAACAGCCAAGAGAAGAGGCGAATGCCCAGGACACTTGCTTTGCTTTCCAGGGTGACCAGCGGGATGAGGAGGAAGAGACCCAGATGAAGAAGTCTGAATCGGAGGTGGAGGTGCGAGCCTGGCGTGAGGGGAGGGGGGGTAACCGGGGCTGCCTGCGGGACCCCGGCCAGCCCAGCTCCAACCCCTCTCCCCCCCTGTGCTGTCAGGAGGCGGCTGCCATCATCGCCCAGCGCCCTGACAACCCTCGGGAGTTCTTCAAACAGCAAGAGCGAGTGGCCTCGGCTTCGGGCGGCAGCTGCGATGCACCCACACCCTTCAACCATCGACCAGGTAGCCCCCGCCCCCCTGTTCCCCCCTGACCCTCCTACTCCTCAGGTGATGCCCCCCTCTTCCCCCCTCCAACCCAGCCTCTGTGGCAACTCTTTCTTGGAAGAGAGGAAAAGGCAAGACCGCCCTCCCCCCACCTCCACCCGTGGCTTGCTGGGTGGCAGCGCCCCCTGGAGGGTGGAGGTGGTAGTGTTCAGTGTGTCCATGTTGGGTCTTGGCTGGGCAGGGGCCGGTGCTTGAGGTCCACTGGGCAGTTCGGGTGTGGGTCAGGGCACATCGCTGGCTGCCGGGAGCCGGCCCAGCTGGGTGGCTAGGTCTGGCCGGAAGGGGCTTTGTGGGTGCATGTGCGCCGGGCTCTTGGCCTGACCTTGGCGCCCTGGATCCCGGGGTTCTCCTGTGTGTTTGGCTTTTTCCCCTTTGCAGTTTCAAACCTCCCTCTGCGGTGCCCTTCCACACCCTGTCTGCTGGTCTCAGTGTTTGCTTGGTCCTGCCTTGGTTTCCCCCCCGGGGTGGGGCAGGCTGCGTCCCTGGTGCTGTTGCTCTGAGCGGCTGGGCTGGCCGAGATCGTGGCGGGCTCGTGGCTGTGTGTGCCTGGCTGGTGGTGCTGGTGGCAGCATCTGGTGGCTTGAACCTGCGGCCCCCTCCCGCTTGGCTGAATGTGTGTCCTGGCTGGAAGGGGGCTTTGGATGCCTAGGGCTGCCCTGGGGGTGGGGGGGCCGGGTGAGGCCTTGGGGCAGGGAGGGGTAGGAGAGACTGACCCTCTCTTGTCCTCTGTCTCTTTCTCTGTCTGTCTCTCTCGGCAGGTCGTCCGTACTGCCCTTTCATAAAGGCATCGGACAGTGGGCCTTCCTCCTCCTCCTCTTCCTCCTCTTCCCCTCCACGGACTCCCTTTCCCTATATCACCTGTCACCGCACCCCAAACCTCTCTTCCTCCCTCCCATGTAGGTAGCAGCCCCAGGCCTCGGCGGGGGGTGAGGAGGGCCCCGCTTCCCAGAAGCCCCCTGGCCCTTGCTCCCCCAGCCTGACTGCTGACCTCTGCTGTCTGTCCCCAGAGCAGGTACTGCCTGCCTCTTGCCCCTGGCCCCGAGGGCCACTGGCCCCCAGGGGCCTGGTTTACAGGGTCTGAAGCTGTGGTCCGGCCCCTGGTGGGGGGGGCCTGGGGTGCTCCCAGCCCCCCACCCAGACTCCAGAGATGAGGTGGTGAACAGTCCTGCTCCCAGCTGGCTCCCCAACCCGCGCTGACCGGCTCTGGGCTTTTGTTCTCTACAGGCAGTCACCTGGACAGCCACCGCAGGATGGCACCCACCCCCATCTCCACCCGGAGCCCCTCGGACTCCAGCACGGCCTCCACCCCTGTCACTGAGCAGATCGAACGCGCCCTGGATGAGGTCACAGCTTCTCAGCCTCCACCACTGCCTCCACCGCTCCCACCAGCTCAGGGTGAGAGGAGGGGGGTGGGGGGGGGGCTCCCAACAACTTCTTAGGCTGGAAATGCTAGGTTGCCATAGTAACAGCTCCCCAGGGACCTGGACCACCAACATCATCCACCTCCACCAACCTACCCCTTCCACATCACTACCACCACCCCTCCCTCCCCTCCCGCGGCAAGGAGTAAATGTGACAAGGCAGAGGAGCCTTGGCTTTGCCCCTTTTCTGCGCCTCAGACTCATCTCTGTTGTGGGTATTAGGATTTCCTGCATCAGCCCAGTAGCTTGAAGACACCAGATTTACCGCAGCTGGGAGCTGGCAGCTCACACCTGTCATCCTAGCTACTCAGGAGGCTGAGATGTGAGGACCAAGGTTCAAAGCCAGCCCAGGCAGGAAAGCCCATGAGATTCTGATCTCCAGTAAATCACTTGGAAATCTGGCAGGTGCATTGTGGCTCAAGGGGTAGAGCCCTCGCCTTGATCTGAAGAGCTGAGGGACAGCGCCCAGGCCCAGAGTTCAAGCCCCACAATTGCCCCACCAAAAATAAAAAAGATTTCCTGGGTCTGCGCAGTGGCTTGAAGACACCAGATACAGCGACGGCAGATGGCACCAGGCTTGCTTTGGCCAGAAGTCATTCTTGTCTTACTGGGTGGGTGGACGGGGACCTTCCGCAAGGGAGGGCTGACCACATCGTTTCCTCCGTTTGTGTGTGACAGATACCCAGGAGCCCAGCCCTAGCCTGGACCACGAAGAGACCAGCAAGGAGGCCCGAGCAGCCCCAGCCGCCGCCGCCATCCCCCCCCAGGCCTGGGCCGGCCCCGTGGAGGAGCCCGCGCGGGCGCAGGAGCCTCCCCCAGGGCGAGGAAGCCCCTTGGAGGACTCGATGTTCTCCGAGCCTCCAGAGCCCCCCGTCCGGGCCGCCCCAGAGGAGCCTGCCCCTGCCGACGCCGCTGCGGCCGACGCCTGTACCGCTCACACCACTGACCCCGACACTGCCACCGCCGTTGCCAACACCCCCGCCCCGGCCAGCCTCATTGACCTATGGCCTGGCAACGGGGAGGAGGCCGCAGCACCCCAGGCTGAGCCTAGGGCCCCCACACCGCCCTCGGGTGCTCAGGTCCCCCCGGCCCAGGTGCCTCTGCTGGACGAGGCGGCCCGGGAGCCGCTGCCGCCGGCCAGCGAGGGCTGTGCCAACCTCCTCAACTTCGATGAGCTGCCTGAGCCGCCCGCCACCTTCTGCGACCCGGAGGAGGAGGAGGAGGCGGTGGAAGGGGAGCCCCTGGCCGCCCCCCAGACCCCAGCTCTGCCCTCCGCTCTGGGGGAGGTGGAGCAGGAGGCGGAGCCGGAGCTGGAGCCGGAACCCCACCTGCTGACCAATGGCGAGACCACCCAGAAGGAGGGGACGCAGGTGGGCGGGGCTGCGGCCTTAACCGGGACCCAGGCGGTGGGAACCTCCGTTCCGCGTCCCTGGGACCGTTCGGCGGCCGTTCCCTAGGGCAGGGCATCCGCGTTTCCCTGGCAACCACTGGTGGGCCCCCATTGGTTGCGAGGAAACAGCCTCGGGTCTTGATTGGTCGGCCCCAATCCTGGTGGGCGGGGCCCAGTGACCCTGCCTCCTTTCTCCCCCCCCCCCCTCCCCGCCCGCCCCACCCCAGCAGGCCAGTGAAGGGTACTTCAGTCAATCACAGGAGGAGGAATTTGCCCAATCGGAAGAGCTGTGCGCCAAGGCTCCGCCCCCTGTGTTCTACAACAAGCCTCCAGGTAGCGCTCCCCGGGCGGGTGGACGGACGGACGGACGGACGGACGGACGGACGGACGGAGGGGAGGGAGGCGTTCTGGGGAAGCGGTGGGGTTTGGACGTGGGCCGTCTGGGCTCGTCTTCACCCCCCTCCCCTTCCCTCCCCACCGCCCGCAGAGATCGACATCACTTGCTGGGACGCCGACCCGGTGCCGGAGGAGGAGGAGGGCTTCGAGGGGGGCGATTAGCGGCGGCGGCGCCCTCCGGCTGCCCTCGCCACGGCCGCCCGCGCCGGCGCCGGCCCCGGCCAGACGGCCCCCGCAGCGCCTGCGTCCGCAGCAGCTCCGCCTGGCACCCGCTCCGAACTCCGGCCCCGGGCCGGGCCTCGCCCGCTTCCCTCCCCGCGGGGCCTGACGTGTCCAGCTTCTCTCTCTCTCTCTCTGTTTTTTTTAAAAGTTGATAGGAGACTTGTACAGTTGACCGGTTTTCTTCCCGTTTGGTAGTTGAGACGCTGTTGCCGATTCCGCCCCTGCCCGCCCGGTCCCGGTCCCGGTCCCGGTCCCGATCGTAGCTTAGTCCTCCCCGGCCCGCCCGGCGGGGGTGCGGGCGGAGGCCTCCCCGGCCGGGCCGGCGCCGGGGGTGGAGAGCTCCGGTGGGAAGATGCCCCCCCCACCTCTTTTCTTAGTTTTATGTTTCTTGGAGAAAAAAAAAAATATCACTTTGTATTCTCTGTCCAGGGCTTCAGAAATTTTGCACGAATTTTAAAACATGGCAATAAATGGCTCGTGGCTCTGGCTTCCCGGGGACCCGCCCCTCCCTTTCTCTCGGGCCCTCCTCCCCCGGCCTGGCCCGCGGCGGCGGCCGGCCCCGCGGGGGCTCCGGGCGTCCCGCCTTCTCCTCCCGGGCAGGTCCCCGGCGGGAGGCCCCGGGCGCGGCTCGGGGCCGGGCTGTGGGGGGCTCTCAGCGCATTCCTCTTGGCTCGGCCTCCTTTTTCACGTTCGGTAACCTGGGTTTTGGTTTTTGGTTTTTTTTTTTTTTGGAAAGCACAAACTTCTGTAACGGGTCGTGCTCATGTCTGTTAATAAAAGAGATCCAGATCCCGTCCGGCCTGCTGCTGTGGGCCTCCAGGCGCTGGCCTGGCCCCCGCGTCCGAGGCCGCAGCGGGCGGGGCGCCCCTGGGACCCATCTCCACGGCAGGCTAGGGGGGCCCGGGCCGCCTCCGGCTCCGGGGACCTGGGGACCTCGGGCGCGAGCAGCGGGGGCTCCCTCCGCTTGTACCAAAGCAGATCACACACCTTTATTATCCTCAAAATGTAACAAACGGGGTAAGAAATCCCGCCCTCGCCCTCCCCCCCGCCCTTCCCCGCAGTCCGAGGGAAGCGTTTTAAAAAGCCCCGCAGTCAGGCCAGGAGTCCGCCGGGCGCGGCCCGCGGCGCCGGGCGCCCCTCTATACGGCTGTAGTCCTCCCGAACAAAGGGATGGAGACCGGCAGGCGCCAGGCCCCGTGCTCCAGGGGCTCGCGGCCGCCGAGCTCCGAGTCGGTCCAGCTGGGGAAGACGCGGCGGCCGCGGTCGGGCTGCAGGCAGAGCGCGGGGCAGGGCGCGGCGGGCCGCGGCGCGCTGGGCAGGTGCAGCGCCGAGCTGTAGCCCCGGTCCAGGAAGAGCGGCTTGTAGCTGGGCGGCTGCTCCTGCTTCTCGGCGCTGTCGCGGCGGCTCAGGAAGGGCGTGACGATCTTGCGGTAGAGGCCGCGCGTGTCGGTGAGCACCTCGCTGTAGGGCGGCGGCGGCTCGGCCATCAGCACCGCCTCTTCGTAGCACGGCGGCTTGGACATGTCCGACTCGGCTGCGGGGCGGGAGGCGGCCGGGCGCGGTGAGGCCGCGGCGCCCCCGCCCCGCGCCCGCCCGTCCCCCCCCCCCCCCCCCCGCCCCGGGCCGGCCCCGGGCCGCCGTGCGTGCTTACCTTGGCGCGGGTAGCTCCAGGGCCGGGGCGGCACGGAGAGGTGCGGCGGCGGCGGCGGCGGCGGCGGGTGCGGCAGCGCGTGGTGGTGCGGGTGCGCGTGCGCGTGCGCCGGCGCGGGCCCGTGGTGCAGCAGCGGGTGCGCGTGCGCGTGCGCGTGCGGCGGCGCCTCCAGGCGGCCGCGGTGCGGCGGAGGCGGCGGCGCCAGGCCCGGGGGGCTCCCGGCCAGGCTGCCCTCCAGCTCCAGGGGCTCCAGCTCCAGGGCGCGCAGGTGCTGCTCGCGCAGCCGCTCCTCCTGGCGCCGCTTGAGGCGGCGGCGCAGGAAGCTGCAGAAGCAGCAGAGCAGGACGATGAGCCCCCAGATGAGCCAGAAGCCGGCGAAGCACGTGAGGAACGTGTAGGTGCCCTGGGACATCACCATGGCGGCGGCGCGGGCGGCGGCGCTCGGCGGCTTCACTGGACGCTGCGCTCCCCGTCGGCGTGGCCCCGGGCCCGCGCCCCGCTCCCGGGCGCCGCCGAAGTCACTCGGGGACCCGAGGCCGGGGGCTGCCTGCGGCGGGGTTGCGGACGCGCGCGGGCCGGCGGGGGGCAGCTGCGGCGCCCGCTCCTTCCCATGGCGCCGGCCGGCCGGCGCGGGCGGCCTCACCCGGGGCCGCGGGCGACCTGCGGGGCGGACACCGTGAGGGGAGGGCGGGCCGCGGCCCCGGCGACCTCCCTCCCGGCCCGCGCGGCCCCGGGGTGGGGGGGGAACCCCGCGCTCCCCGGAGGCCCGGTGACGTCACCGACGGCGATGACGTCACGCCCGGAGGTTTCCCCGGGCAGGGCTTCCCCCGCTCCGCCGCCCGGGCCCGCGGCCGCCCGGACCGGCAGGGGGCGCGCGAAGGCCGGGCTCCGCCGCCGAGCCCGAGCCGGGGACCCCGCCGCCCGCCCCGAGGCCCCGGCCCCGTACCCCGGGGCAGCCCCGCGGGGCTCGGCCGCGCCTCCCCTCCCCACCCTGATCCCGTCCCCTCTACAGCGGGAAGACTGCATGCAGCTCCGGTCCGCCCGGCCCCTCACTCCCCGCCATCCCAGCTCTCCCTGAGAGAGGGCAGAAAGGCGCTGACAGCGCAGAGGGTGGCAGGGCGGCAGGTGACGGTCACCACCCCCGGAGCGCAGGGGAGCCTTCCTTGGATGCCCTCTGCCAGGAGCCTGAACACACACGCGCGCACACATGCACACCCTGTGCGCACACACATGCACACCCGTGTGCACACATGCACACACGCGCTTGCACACACACCTGTGTGCACACATGCACACCCGTGCGCACACACATGCACACCCCGTGTGCACACATGCGCTTGCACACCAGTGCGCGCGCACATGCACACGCGCGTACATGCACACCTGTGCGCACACACATGCACACCCGTGCGCACACATGCACACGCGCTTGCACACATGCACACACGCGCTTGCACGCACACACACCCGTGCGCACACATGCACACCCGTGCGCGCACACATGCACACACGCGCACATGCACACCCGTGCGCACACACATGCACACCCGTGCGCACACACGCGCATGCACCTGCACACATGAGCACGCACACACACACACACACACACACACTCTGCGTTTTCTTGTGGTACGTCACAGATGAGGGGCCGGGTCGCGATCAGCTGTGTCACGTGAACCCAGGACTGGCCACGGAGCCCGACCCGAGTGGGTGGTCAGTGCTGCTACTTGAACCTTTTGGGGTCTCTTCCAGGAGCTCCAGCCCCGTCCCCCGTTCCTGGAATACCCCCGCGTGCAGGCACTAACCCCGGTGCGGCCCGCAGCCGGCCGGAGCCCCCGGCTGGGAGGACACCAGGCCAGCCACCACCCAGCCTCTCCCCAGATGGCTTCTGTCTGCCTTCCCTGGCTGCCTCCAGCCATGTGCCACTTGGTGCCCGTGCCAGTCCTTCTTCCCTGGGCCTGCGTTCCAGAACAGACAATGGCAGAACAATGGCTCTGCCCGCCCCCTCGACAGCCCCCCCCACGAGGCTGCCATGGCGACGGAGCCCAGATAAAAACACGACGCTGCCAGTCACCGGGAGTTAATTAAATCTGTTCTCCTGTTCCCAGAGCCCTCAGGAACAGGAATGTTTGGAGGAAGCCAGTGCTAACTAGGGTCCCCCAGTTCACAGGGCAGAAAGGCACTTCTGAGAAATAGGTCAGGGTCCAGGCATGGTGACCTGGCTCACTGGCTGGCAGGCCCAGCTCGCTGGGGAGGCCAGGGCCGGAGGATGGAGTCCCAGAGCCAGGAGTCTGGGACTATAATGAGACTTCATACACGCCGGGCGCTGGTGGCTCATGCCTGTCATCCTAGCTACTCAGGAGGCTGAGATCTGAGGATCGCGGTTCAAAGCCAGCCTGGGCAGGAAAGACTGTGAGACTCCTATCTCCAATAAACCACCTGAAAACCAGAAGTGGTGCTGTAGCTCAAGGGGTAGAGCGCTCACCTTGGGCTGAAGAGCTGAGGGACACCGCCCAGGCCCAGAGTTCAAGCCCCACGACCGACAAAAAAAAAAAAAAAAAAAAGGACGAAGGACGTACACATGCCACGTGCTGGTGGCTGGGTAAGGTCATAGGGGTACTATGGCCTTAGCCACTCAGGAAGCCATCAGGGCTTGCTCCATGCAGAATCTTCTAGATTGGCAACGCCACCTTGTTCGTGGTGGTTGTGTCCATTTGACAAATGAGGAGCTCAGAGAGAGAAATGATTTGCACCTGGTCACGTGGTTCATTGGAGAAAGGTTCAGCTCGCATGGAGACCGTAGGGCCCCGTTCCCTCCCCTACGGGAGCAGCTGGATGTGTGATTGAAGAGCTTGGCATCTGTGGGCACTTGGTATCTGTTGGCAGCTCTGCAGGCACTGGGAAGCCTGGCCAGCGAGCAGCCAAAATACACACTCCTTTTCCTTCCTGTTCCTTCCCATTAAGTCTTTAGGGTGCCTGGCTTCTAGCCCACCACAAGATGTCCGGGACGGAATGATAGGCCCTGGCTAAGAGCCGGGTCTGTGCCCTGAAGGTGCACAGCTCAGGCAGGCTGGGCAGTGAGCGAGACAGGGTGGGCCACATTGGCAAATCTGCTGGGTGCTGTTCACCCCTTGGCCGGTAGGTAGGAACCGTCCCATTAAACAGACTGGGCAACTGGGCAGGAGAAACTAAGCAGAGGTCTTATAAGCTGAGCTGACCCTGGGACCCAAGCCTGGCTCTGACACCTAGTGGTCTGATGCTAAACTTTTTCCTCCTAGGCCTACAGCGGTGCCCTCTACCCCCACCCCCCGGGGCTGGAGTCTCATCTGAGACAGACTGGCTGCTCAGTACATCCAGCCCAT